AGGGCTGCAGAAGAGGAAAGCAGTCACAGTGGCTACCCAGCACTAATTATATCTTCAGGGTTGCTGGGAGCATGCCAGCACCAAGTTGTGCACTGTGAAATGTTACTGGGGAATTGTGATTTTTAGCAGCCTAAACTCTACCAATCTGAGTGGAGCACGATGAGATCAGCAGAGGACCCTCCCAGCCTGCCTATTATTGTGATTTAAGCCTGAAGGGGGAAAAGAATGAGAGCTTAGGTTTTCTGTCTCCTAGGAATTCACAGTGTGGATGGTGTCCTGGAGCCCTGAGCTGTGGCAGGTACATGTGGAGGTGTCTGTATTTAGGGCAGCAGGGTGTGAAAGAAAGTGCTAATTTGCTTTCTGTGTCTCTCTGCTTGTCTGTGTGTGCAGGGGGGATCAGAGGGTTGAACACTCTCAGCTCATCTCTTTTGAGGCTGTTTCACTCTGCAGGGTGTGATGATGGTCACTGAAACCTGAGTTTGTGTTCCTTTCCAAGGGACTCTGTGTGATCACACTAAGGCCGTGCATCTGAATAAAGACGTTGGCAATGCACTGTTTTCATTAATGCCTCTTTCTTGGGGATGTTTTGGGTGGTTTTGGATGCCTGTGTGGAATTTGAACACACTCTTCTACCCTGACAGCTGCTTTTGAAAACATCAGAAACAGATCTTTTTGTGTCTTGGGAATTACTCTGTAAGAAGTTGGATGTTAGTGAAGGGTTTGGGTATTACTGTTAGAGATCCAATTTCTCTGTTTCTTTACACGCTTGGCCCAGTGCATTTAGAACTGGCGTCTCACAAATATTCTGTGTCCAAGTGCAGTTGCTGAACTTAGAAAAAAACTCCATTTCAAAACAGCCCCACTTATCTGAGCAGTTAAACCCTTCACAGCACAGTCCTCCATAACACATGTTCCTTTATAAACCAAAGCAAAAATCTCATTTAATGCATGATTTGCTTACAGTGTTGGATAATAAGTATTTGTAAGTTCTTTGGTTTTTTTTAGTCAAGCTTTTTAGTTTTAAAAACATTGTAGCAACTGCAATAAGCCAAAACTATGCATATGGGAAGAGATGCAAGAAACACAGTCAGTTACATCACCTGGCAAGAGTTCTGCTTTGTTCTGCATTCATCTCTAGCCAGTTGTGAGTTAAACAGCATGTTCACAGTTTTGTCCTCAGGTTGGCAATTTTGGTTTCTGTCTCAGTGTTTCAGGCTGCTTTCAAACCAGCAGTTCTACTAATCAGAGCATCTCTGCCCTCCCTGACCTGCTTTGCTGTCCTCAGACTTCCCGGTACAAGCATCTCTGTGGCTGTTTAATGAATCAGGTGTGGGGACTGATCTGAGTAGAGGAAAATGTCGTTTAATCCAACCCTTCTGGGTTTGAGTCAGCCCAGCTCAGTGTGAATGTCTGAGCAGCAGCTGAGTGCTGCAGGGAAGGCACCCAGGCCAAGCCTGCTCTGGCACCAGTGCTTGCTTGTGTTGGTTGAGGTGTTCCCAGACCAGAACAGCAGTCTGGGTGCACTGAAGGTTGTGTTTGATCTGATTGGAGCTGTCCCTGACAGGGGCGATCCCACTCTGCTCTCCCTCCTCTCCTGGGGCTGCTCAGTGATTCCTCGGTCAGGATGAGCTGTCAGGGTGCTAAGCCTGGAAATGTTTGTCTTTCTCTTGTTTAAGTTGGTGAAGTGATCCCATTCACAGAGTGATTCCGTGACCAGTAGATCCAGTGTCAGACTGGGACATGGAAATGTGTGGCTGGGGCTGAGGAGGATGAGGCTGTGTTGGGTCAGCCTGAGCTCACTGCCACTGAAGCACAAATGAAACCACATTTGGCTCTTCAGAACAGTTCCCAGAACCACAGCCCACTGCTTGTCTTGTCTGTGCAAACCCTGCTACAGATGGAGGCCTCTTCAAACCAAACTGTTGGTTTGTTTAAAGAAATTAATGTAAATAAATCCCCATGTGGATGCAGATCTTCTCCCTATAGTGTGTTAAATGCTTTACACAGAACATCAGTAGAGGCGTAGAATGTGTGTAAGTGTTTTGGGTGTAGTCTGCTCTTGTGTATCCCTTCTGGATTCAAATTTCTATTTGAATTCAGTTTTAATTAACATGAGGACACAATCCAGAAGTTCTGAGGGATTAGTACTGATGCTTACCTATTAAAAATTTAAACAGAAACAGACATATCCCAATACATGTGCTGAACCACATCTCTGCAGATCAAACTGGAAACGATGTGTGAGAGCTCATTTAATGCTGCTGCTGAGTCCAAAGCCCCAGGACTTCTCTCCCTTTTTTTTTGAAACTCTCTGTGTGGGTGGGCAGTGGTGTGATCCAGGTTAGTAGTTTATCATTCCTCACAGTCCACAGATTTACAGACTCCAGGAGTTAGCACAGAATTAAATTGGGTGCAGCTCTGCTGATTTCACTGTGCTTTCCTTGACTCTGTTTCATCCCTCCTGTGGGGGGATGTTGGGGTGATAGCTCTGAGCTGGCAGGAAGCCACAGGAGCCTCTTTGCTCTTTGAAACAGCTGAGCTCTGGCTTTTGCTCTGTGGATCAAGCGAGTGCTGCTGTTGGGTAACGTTCTTTGTTCAGTTGAGTTTTTTGGTTTTGGTTTTCATCATCTTCCTGTTCCAAGGTCTTTGTGACTTAGCATATGTTCTTAGCTGGTTATGGCACAAACACTTACCCTTTTTTCACAGGTTGCCTATGCTGGCACTAATTCTTGGTGTTTTGTGGTCTGTAGTTACTTTCATTGTCCTGTTCCAGAAACTCTGCCCATTCCTTTTCCAAGCTATAGCTGGGGATGGATGCATCTAGAGCAGATGTAGATGTTCTGGAGGAGTGCTTTTTCTTAGACTGTTATTTAGTGTATGAGGTGTTCTAGCAGCCTACTATGGAAAAAATAACTTTACTCCTCCCATTTTGTCTCTTCCTCCTGCATTCCCCTGCCCCTATCATGCCAGGAAGGTGGCACATGGCTGTGTATCTCAGCCACTCTGGACTATCTTTTCCCATTTCCTTTTCCATAGTTCCCAACCCTTTGGATGGCTGATCAGCATTTCTGTGTGAGTGCAAGAGCTGAGTGCTGGCTGTAGGGAGCCTCCAGCTGGGACAAGCCAGGACTGGTGTCCTGCTGGCAGGATATAGGATGGCAGGGTCCCTTCTGCCCTGTGGAGCTAAAGATGTCTGCTGGTTTAGGGGCCTGCAAAAAATAAACCCAATTTCCTTGCTGTTCAGTGTTCCATAGGTTTTTTCCCTTCCCAGTGCAGTACTGAGTGGCCACGTGCCTGGTGAGGCCTCTCCAGAGGTCAGTTAAATGGGCAGTCTGGATAATCAGTGTTTGGGGAAATAGTCCTTGAGGCAGAGTCCCAGGGACTGCAGCCATGAGGCAGAGTCCTGCTGTGCCAGGCAGTATACAGGAATGAGGTGAAACTTTTTCAGAGAATGTGTTTACAGGATCCAAGAAATACTTGTGTTTTTTGCTCTGTTGTTGGTATGATGAGCATCACCTTCAGCTCCTCAGCAGTTCACCAGCCACCTCTTGAACCAGGCTGGCTCCTTCCACCTACTGTGGAGGGCAGAAGTAAATTTTAGAGTTTAAATTTGGAAATGGACAAAGTTTGTGGACTTGAAAAAGGAAATCCTGTGTGTGATGGGGAGTTTGGGTTTTGGAGGAGAAGCTGAATGTCCTCACACAGGTGATGACAATGGGAGAACTACATGATCTGCAAGTCTTCGGTTTTCTTTAGGAGTAAAAATTCATTCCTGCAATCAGTGTTTCCAGTGGGGGTCTTTCCCTTGTCCCTGGAAATTCCCCCTCTTGTCAGAGGTGTAGCTGCTGCCCTGGAGTGTTTGCAGTCCTTGTGGCAGAGCAGCTGGCTGTTCCTGCAGGAGCGCTTGGGAGCTGAGCACCAGCTGCTTCTGGGCAGCCAAGGGAAGGTGTGAACACTGCAAATGAAGCAGTGGAGGGAACAGCAGCAGCAGGAATGTGGTAACAGGTAGAGAGCAGAGTACAGGCCCACTGTGAGCAGGGTATGCACACCCCAGTTGTGTTTGATAACAGCCAGACTGTCCTGGGGGTGTTCCCTGCCCTGTGCTGGAGAGTGGAGAGAAAGGGGGAGGCTACAATTGGGATGGGGCAAACTGGGAGTGGAGGAAAATCTCAGAAACACAAAACACCCCGTGTTGGAAGTGACCCATCAAGGTAATTGAATCCAACTCCTGGCCCTGCCCAGGACACCCCAACAATCCCACCCTGTGCATCCTTGAGAGCATTGTTCAAACACTCCTAGAGCTCTGGCAGCCTTGGGGCCATGCCCATTCCCTGGGGAAGCTGTTTAGTGCCCAGAGAAAACCTTTCCCAAACATCTGGGTAGCAAATCTGTTCTTTTTATTTTTCCTTGATGGTTAATAAGAAAATTCTGTCTGGTTGAGAGGCAGTACATGGCAACTTTCCATATTCTGCTTTTGTTCATTTGGACAAAATAAAAACAAAACCCCCATTTGTTAAACCTGTAATGTCACAATGTGAAACTGTTTCAGCTTTTCCAGTAAGTCACTGGTTTTCTTAAGTACTGTGGTACTTTGTGACTTTCCAGTGGCCAACTTTTGGGCTGACACTGAGCTCACGTGGCCACCAAGCAGCCTGTAGGAAATGAACCTTATTCCCTCTCCCTGTTTATTTTTTTTTCCTTCCTAACTTGTAAGATGACAATAAGATAACAATAAGGCTAGAAATGTAATGAAGCTGTTGGAAATGAATAGAATAGAAATGAATAGAAGTGAGTCAGGTTGTGGTGAAAACCTAAATGCAGGGATAAGCCAGGTTTATTCAATACTGTTTCTAAATTCTTTTCCTTGAAGGGGAATATATGACTAGGAGGATTTTTGAACTTGAATTGAGGAATTAACCAATGAAAATGAAACAAACTATGACTATAACTAAATTATGAAGCGATCCAGTGACTCTTTTCTTCCTTTTTGTTTCCCACAGGCCGAACTCACGGGCATCAAATGGCGTAGGTACAACTTTGAAGGCCATGGGGACTGCGGGCCCATCATTTCAGCTCCAGCCCAGGATGATCCCATCCTGCTCAGCTTCATCCGCTGCCTGCAGGCCAACCTGCTGTGCGTGTGGCGCCGGGACGTCAAACCCGACTGCAAGGAGCTCTGGATATTCTGGTGGGGGGACGAGCCCAACCTGGTCGACGTCATCCACCGCGAGCTGCACAGTAAGCCACTCTTTACTTCTCTATTACCTCCATTCTTTCCAGTGAAAAAGTTTTTTTTTTTTAAATGCTTTAACTTGCTACCTTATGGGATTTTGTCATAGTTCATGTTTTAAGACCTACAGGAAGATAAAAATCTGTAAATTTGACTTTTTTTGCTGCATGATAAAACGCAAAGTGAAACTTGTACTCAGGAGACCTGTAGTCAATATCATGACTTGGATTTTTGTGGAGCCTCTGAAAGTAGAGTAAATTCTAGTTCCAAGGGGTGATGATAATAATGATGATAATAACAATACCTCAGCTCTGACATAAGGTAGTAGCTGATGGAAAAAATCACCTCTCCTGTACAGTCAGGTGAACTCCATGGCACCCCAGGTAAATCTGTGAGGTCAGGACTTGCTCCTTGCTCGTGCTGCAGGATTTGAGCATGATCCAAGGCGAGTTGCAGCAAGTGAGTGGAATAGGAGGCAGGAAGAGGCAGGTAGGCCAGAGGTGACAGTGATAATTTGGTGATTATAGGCTTTGTGCAACTGGGATTGTCCTCAGAGTCACCAGAATGTGGAGCCTTAACATGATTAAGTTACTTCTACTGTATCTGCTGTGATCCTGTTTGGGTTGACTATATCATCCAGTGTGTATTGTTTTCTTTTCAGTGGTGTATTGTTGCTATGACAAGTCTTAGTTTGCCTGAACTACAAGGTGTTTTATTAGGCTGATGAATTTTACCTCCATTTTCACCTTGTGTCCTGCAAGAAAACAACTGAAGTTCACCAGTTCTGGAATAATAACAGTAGTTAAAAAAATCCAAGACAATCATAAGGATCAAGTTCCGGTTTCTTGCAATAATTTTTTATCCTTGTGGCCTTTAGACCTTCTGGTGGCTTGGTGATAAAATTTGTTTCAAGTACACAGAATATTTTGTTTATCAAGTGTACTTGAGTTGTCCCTTATCTCCCACCTGTACCCTGCACTGTTTAGTCCTGGGTTATGGTATATTCATTTATTTTCATTCTGTTCTAAGCACAGTTCCAAACTTCCTCCTTTGATGGCTGCCAGATTGTTTATTTGGCACCAGAGCCTGTAAAATCACAGATATGGAGGCCTGAGTACCTTGGGGTGTGTTCCACACAGGTAGCCCTGTGATCATGTATAATTAAAGAGATGGCTCACAAGTGCTGTGCTGAGCCATTCCACTGACATTCATTTTTTATGAGGCACCTGTTTTGAATGAGGGAATGGGTAATATTTCTACTTACCCAGCAAAGCTTTAATAATATATGCTTTTCTCGTAGTGAAATATAGTTTATTAAATATTTCAAATGCAGTAGATGGGACTTAAGTGTCTTTTTATTTGAGGAGAGTTGCAGGTGATGCTTCAGTTTCTGTAAATTGATGGAGCTTGTTTATATCTGACATCTTGGTTACAACAACGTGATACTGCTTCCAGTGGCGGTGGTCTGGAAATCCACTGCAGTGTCTGGACAGCTGAACCTGCTTCTGCTGGGTGCACTGTGGGGCAGAATAAAGCAAAGCAGCACTGTCACACATTGTCTGCCTGGTTCAAAATTGTCTGGAATCACAGAATTATTTAGTTCAGAAAAGACTTCCAAGGTCATTGAGTCCACTCTGTGTCTGATCCTCCAGCTGGAGCACTGAGTGCCACATCCAGGTGTTCCTTGGACACCTCCTTTTCTCCAGACTGAGCCCCTTCCCAGCTCCCCCAGCCCCTCCTGGGGCTGCAGCCCCTTCCCAGCTCCATTCCCTTCCCTGGACCTGCTCCAACCCCTCAAGGTCCTTCCTGAGCTGAGGGGCTCAGAACTGGACCCAGCACTTGAGGTGTCCCCACATCCAGGCTGGAGCCTTCAGAGCAGTAACTTCTGAGTGGAATTCAATCTGAAACTCGTTTGTTGTCATGTGTGTAAATCCTACAAGGATAGATTTCCTTGTTCTATATTAAAAGCACATTGAAACACTTGTAGTGACTTATCAGATATAGTTCAAAGTGATGTAAATTGTGTAAGTGTTGTACATTTTCTGCTGATAGAGCTGTTGGGCTCTGTTCAGTACATTTTAAAGTTCAAACATCAGTATTGACAAAATATTGAGCCTCAAATTCAGCCAGAACAAGGCATTTATGTCCATTGATTCCTTGAGATAGGACAAAGGACACAGTTTGTGTTCACTGCTTCATGCAGCCAGAATGCAAACTGAACAAGTTTATTCTGCTTTTTATGGTATAAACAGGCCACAATACTGAACTATTTGATAGTTGAAATTGGCTTCCTGAAAATATAAAGGGCTTTTCCATGTGGGCATACAAACAGAAAACAGGAAAGTTACTGAAGCAGAGTTTTCCTTGCCTATCAGCTGGGCCAGGGTAACCTGATGCCTTTTTCTGGTATAGCCTGCTCAGGAAATGAGCTGCTTTGGCTTAAAAAGCTGTTCCTGCAGGTTGGATTGTCACTGTGACTTAGAGTTCCATAGCCAGAACTTTGTTGTTGTGCTGTCACATCTTCAGGAGCACAAGTCCCAGGAATGTGATGCTGCAAATCCAAGAGGAAGACTAGAGTCTCACCAAAACATTGACATCTGAGATATAGGGACTATAGGGAATAATGCCTGTTAGTAAGATCATGAATTCTTATCAAAAATAAAGTTCTGGATGCCTCGGACTTGTGTGATGAAAGTGAAATATTTTATTGATAGCTAAATTTTAAAGAATTTAATTTTTAAATATTATATTTTATTAATTCAAGTCTAAATTATAATTTTTGATTTTTTTTTCTGGATAAGAGAGTCACTGCAATAGTGCTGTATGATATTTACTGCTCTCAGTAAACAGAGGAAAAGTCCAGACTGAGGCTTTGCTTTCAGAAGCACTTCAAAAACTTTTGCTCATGAACTCTTTATCTTTATAACATTGAAGATTTGGTAAACAACAAATCTGCCATTAATAAAAGAATTTCAAATAGTCATAGGAAAACAACTTAGTGATTGTAAACAGGAGGTATGAGGAGAGTTGTTTATGTAGTAGCTTTCCAAAACTGTGGATAATTAAATGCTGTCATGGGAGATTAAGTAAAAACAATTATTTGCAGAGCAGTTATAGATCAGTGGAGTGGTTGGATTAACCAGGCAGCTGGGAACTTCAGAACTGTCTCTTGCACATTCTCCTACATTTCTTCTTCCTGCCAGCCTTGACTGTGGTGTTCTGGTTTTTTATTGTGCTGGCATTTAAAACTGGATGAGAGGTTGAAGACCTTTATTCAATCCTGGGTGGAAAAAGCTGATTGGGGTGGGGTCAGTGAGTGAGGAAAAACTGGAGTGATTCTGTAAGTCTGAAAAAGTTGGGCACGCTTAAGTTTGTTGAAGTTTGGTTTTCTGAAGGATAAATGCTATTTAATGATATTGCCTGGAGAGGTTTGGCAACTGTTCCAGCTCTGGTACCTTTCCCCACAAATCCATTTTTTTGTACATCACACAGAAGAAGTGGAAGGAGAGGAGGGAGTGTCTGACTGTTGGCAGCGTTTTTGACAGGAACGTTGTGGATTTGCAACTTGCAGAGCTCTCATTTGCATTTGGTGACCAAATACCATCTGGAGCATCACAGAGAATTTAGACTCAACTCTTGGGTTTTCTTTCTTCTCCCACCCCTGCCCTAGACCCTGTGGGTTCCACAGAGATTATAGGGAAGGGAGATCTGTTCCTCAGTTCCCTTCTTGGCTTTTGCAAAGAGCACTTTGCCCTGACACTTTACAACACTCCAAGTGTTAGACTTGATGGTCGTGTGGGTCTCTTTCAATTCAGAATATTCTGTAATTCTCTGACAGTTTTGTCTATCAATTTATAATCTCTGACCTGGATTTATGGATACATTCCACTTTGTCTGCTGCATTTGTGGTACAGAATATTGGAATTCTCAGGTTTAATGCAGGGATTATGATATGTACCACTACTGAGAATACAGGTTGGTGACTGTGAGCACAACACTGGAGGTGGACTCTGGAAGGCTGGCAGGATGTGAGACAGGAGCTTGAAAAGTAATAAATTCTGGGGTTTTGGCAGTTCTTTAGGTAAAACTGCATCTTTCTATCAGCTTAGTAGCTTGTGTGCCTGAACTCACTGATTCTGGTAGGTATTTGGGATTTCCATCTATATATTGCACTTGATCCATTAATTTCTGGAGCTGCTTCCCCAGAAAAATGATACTATTTCACTTTCTGCTGTGTAGAATATAAGAATTGGGATGGAAATGCTTATGAAGAATAGATGATCTTGAATGAATTAGGCAAGTCTTTCCTGAAGGATTATTGTACATGAACTTTGCAGCTTGGTAAGTTTAAAAACGTAGCTGAAATTTGAGCTATGACAGGAAAAACCTGGAGCTTCAGCTCGTTCCTGTTTATGAATTCTTGGCATATCAGGCTGGCGCAGCCGTAATCCCCTGGTGCTGATAAAAGTGAGCAGGGAAAAATGCTGCCTGTAGGAAGAGCTGTGTGCAGGGCACCCACATTAACAGACATGGTTGTGCCCCAAAATTAATTTTCTTATTGTTTCTCTACCTGAAATTTGCTGATTTTTACCTACAGGAAAGCAGAACATATCAGCTCTGTTTTTAAGGGTTTTCTCCTGAGGAGAACAACTTGCCCCAGAACTCAATTTAGGTGTTTTTATTCCTGCTAGGAAGGGTTCTTATGCTACCTTATGAACTGCCAGATTTCAGAGTTTCATTTAGCAGTCAAGTCAGCGTTTAAACTGTAAATGTTTAGTAGTTGGTGCTTGTCAGCATTTAGTAGGGATTAAAAGAAAAATAATGAAAAATTTGGAAAAAATTATATTTTTTGGTTCCACTAATGTAGAAGAGAATGAAGTAGTGAAAAATCTACTTTCCATCTCAATTTGAGCCTATTTAAGGTTCTTTCAGGGTACTGTATTATTTCTGCAGTTGTGAGGAATTGGGAGCTCTGTCAGGAATTAGAGTATCTTCTGAGCTGTGTGTAGTGAGATAGGTTAATTATTGAATGAGAAGATATTCCTGTCTATTCAAACACATTTGAGGTGTGGGAAGCAATGCGTGAAATGAAGGCTGAGCCCCCTTGCTGTGCAATGGGTGTTCCAATGCGAGTGCTCCTCAGTCTTTTCATTCTGCCATGAGATTATGGCAGTGGGCAGGAAGGGAGGGAGTTGCTGCTGGAATTGCATTACAGCTGACTTGGAGACTTCCTTGGATTTGCCCAAAGGTTATTCCTGGGATCCCTGGGCTTTGGTGAAACCATGGGATGTGTATTACAACAATTTTCTGCACTCTGAGTAACTCCATAAACCCCAGAACTCTTGTCATGCCCAGTGGTACCAGGAAGGAGAGCAGCCAGGGCATGGAAAAGCAGTTCATGAACAAGGAATAAAGGATCTGAAATGCAAGGCTTTTCGAAGGCTTTCCATTTAAAAAGCAGCAATGAATATCAAGCAGCTGAGTACCACTTATTAATAATTTGAAGTGAAATCTGAAAATGGTTAATTGCCGGTTCTTGAGCGCAGAGTGGAATTAACAAGTAGGTTCCTGTGACAGAAGACTTTATTGGAATATTAAGTTACTGAAAAGTCTGTTTCTGGCTTGATTATTTTCAATAAGATAAGTAATTTGCATTTTCTTAATTGCCTAGCATAGATTATTCCCAAAGACATGAAAACAAAATTCAACTTTTCCATTCTTTTTGGCAAGAAGATGGGATTGAAAAGTGAATTCCTACTTTCTCAGCCCGCAGAATTGTTCTGTGACCCTTATATCTGACACTGGTAATTGGTGTCCAGTGATTGCCAGTTGAAGTTCAGCTTAGACAAAATAAACTTTTTCTTTTAAGCAGGCATATTAAATGAGGTTATTATGCCATCATTTGGGATTAAGGAATTGCTTCATGGGAAAATGCCAACTCCTTTTATACACACGAAGTTGACAAGAGCCTTATTGTGTCTGGGCGAGATGTCTTCATTTTGTTTTGCTTTCTTTTAAAAATAAATGTTCTTCCTACCACTTATACTCCTTTTTCTTGAAAGTTGGTTTGTGGGAGTGTTAAAAAAAAATTAAAACTGAGTGTCCTGTTTGGAATTCTGATTGCACTTACCTCTGCCTTAATTCCTCTTTCCATCAGTGGTTTTGTCTCCATGAACAGGGAATCTCAGTGTTCAGAGCAGCATCCAATGAGTACATGTGGTATTTGTGAATTCATTACCAATTCTAGTCAAGAAATGGAATTTACTGATCCTTGTGGGTCCCTTCCAGCTCAGGATATTCCACGGACCATTCTCACATAGTGTGTTTTCCCTCTTCTTACAGCTGGCAGAATCTAAGGCTAAAAAGTTATTTAAAAGTCTGAAATCTACCAAAGGGCCATATGTAAAAAAGCCTAATGCTTTTTGTTGTTTTATTTTATTTGTATCCCTCAAGAATTAACATCTTAATTTTGTTCATGGCTGGGAATTTGGAGGTTTTCCTGTTGATTGCAACAAATTACCTTCTGGAAAGAGTTTAGAGGAAAGACACTGATGGAAGGCAAAGCCAAGAAATTCTCTACTGAATCCATGTGCTTCCTCATAATCTTTCTGCTTTCTAAATATAAGCTCAGTTTGACTGAAATAGTTGAAATTTTGTGT